CATTAATATAGTCGTGGGAGACGCGCGCTAGACTATCTCTCTCCCGCTCGCTCTTGCCTGCCGGGAACAGGCGCGCAGTAACTTCGCGTTTATTCAAATGATGCTTTAGGTTGAGCCTTGAGCGTCCTTTCGCGCAGGATAAGTAATCCTGGCGTATTCGCGGGAGGCGTAACTCGAGGAAGAAGCGAAGAAAGAAGCGCGGCTGGAGATCGGAAAGGGAGGGGGAGGGGGAGAGGCACATTCGAGGGTCAGGGATAGGACAGCGAGGGGAAGGAGAGAGAGAGAGAGAGACTGAGATAGAAACGGAAAGATCGCGAAGACGAGAAGGGAGCAAGGTAAAGGAAGACAGAGAAGATGAAGGGACGAGGAGGAAGAGGCGGACAAGGCCATTCGTTTCAATGAACGGTCCTCCGGAATGGGGGAACCGCCCCTTCGCCTCTCTCACCCCATATTCTCCCTGGCTCCTAGGGGATCCGGGGAGATAGGATAGGATAGAACTCGGTATATAGGACTTTATGCGAGTCTTCTCTGAATAGAAAAACACTCGAGCAGAGGCCAGCGTGCACCGTGTTCGCCTGCGCTTCCCTTCCCCTACGCCTCCCGCCGTCTCTTCAGCTTCCCTGGCGTCCCTTCCGATTCCTCCCTAGCGTTGAATCTCATTTGAATGGAGCCCGCCACCTCGTCGTCTCTTCTTCTTCCGTCGTTGACTATCGCGTGGATAGTCGGTTCTGGAGCTTCCTTATGATGTGGCGACCAATATGCTCCAACCACGACGCGACGCGAGACGAGCGGTCCCTCGAGAGAGAGAGAGGGTATGAAGAGGCGTAGGGAAAGTGAGGGTTGCATCCGTATATTCGGAGGGGGAAAAAAATTCTAGATTAGCTTCGTTCGCCGCGCGATTTTTCAAAGACCATCGAGATTTTTAGCATTTTGATCTCTTTAAGATTGCATATCGGTGAAGCGAAAATTTTAGCCAGTTTTTATAGTTGGAAAACTTGGAATGTGAAAACACGTTAAATCCAAAATGTATATTTTGTGTCTTTGGAAAAATGTGGAGTGAATATGTTAGTTACTAAACGTTGCGTTTTGCGTTAAGAAATGCTTATAAAACGTAAGTTTGCAAACTCGGCAGAAACGCAGCATTCTTTTGCCGAAGAAAACCATGCTTGGCACATTACCAATGCAAAACGCAGTACAATACATGCCACTTCGGCAAATTCACCGCTCGTAAACTTCTTAACCGTAAGTTCTTCCGCTTTATAGATAGAAATTCAAATCTCGCGTCTACACAAATGTTTTTGATTACAAACATTTACATTATCTATGAGAGGATTTTTTTTTAGAAATTATATGTATTAGACGAAACGTGAATTTGTTTCTGTCAATTCTATTTGTATATGCGCTCAATTAATCAACTAGCTGTTACTATAACGAGCGAACTGCAGTTCTTTGTTTTCGACGCCATAAATTACTGCATTCTTGAAAGAAGAGTTAAAGAAACTTACAAGTAAACATTCCATTTCCTCCGAGCACTACTTCATTCGGAGTCGGCAACATATCGCTCCGGCTTCCGTTTGTTGCCATTCGGGGAGCAGCGAAGAGAGTTCTGGCCTGAGTAAGCTAGTCGCGTCATCGGCAAAGGGCCAAGGCACGAGCGTACCTTCCGAGCAGTTGCAACGGTTGAAATGAGAATGCGGGAGGGCCGAGGGCCGCGCGTGAAAAATAAGTTGTGCTGGAGAACAATTAAGGAAATGACAGCCGTAAATTTCGGCGGATCGCGGCCACGTTTTAAGAGCGTCTTCTCGCGAGAACGACGAAATTGCTTCCATCAATCCGGGAGCCGTGACAAATTAAAGAAGCATTGGCAAGCTCGTCTGGTGAGGTACACCTCCCCCTAATTTAACGACATTTTTATGCTAGGCCGACGTTTCGACGGCGAAGTCAGAAAATTATCAAGGAAAATTATCAAGGAACCGTGAAAATTAAGATTTATGTTTCGGAAAACTTAATTCTACAATTAGAATTTCGAATATTCTAAAAAACAATATATTAAAGAATTTTTGAATATTTTTTAAATTTAATAATATTTTATATTGTACTGGTAATTATACGTATATATTACAGGACTAAATTAAAAAAGTATTGCTACGAATATGTGGCGCCAAGCAAGAAAGTTAAAATTAGTTTCTTGAATTATTACGAACGAAAGTTTATACAAAAATTAAGTAAAATTTATATCACCAGATTATAATATTTAGAAGATATATGAATAATATTTTATTCAAGTATTATTTCTACATAGAATTTAAATCAACTAACAATTTCTCTCTTGAATATCTCAGCAAAGGGTTACAAGTTTCAAATAGCCAGAATAAATTACAATAGTTATCGTTGTTGCTTTTCTCGTGCGAGTTTCGAGATCTTTTCGCGGCGGTATCTTTGACAATCTCGCTTTTTCCTCTCCTAAAAGTTTCTCGGATTAAATGCAAATTATAAATCCATTAAGAAGCTGTTCAACGGCACGCTTCGATAATGCTCTTTTTATTGACAAATTCTTATTTCCGGCGAGGAGGATGATGACGTAATAAACGACGATGTCGATATCTCTAGTCTCTAGCCTAATTGTCTTTTAAATGTTTCGTCATGAAACGAACATTAGCCGGCGTGGTTGGTAACAGATTCTCGCTGCATCGCCTCCTTAAGAATTCCGACTTGGTGTCACTAATTAACAGCGGAGGGACCGTAATTTATGCGTAAAGCTCGTTACCAAACAGGTGGTGCCCGGCGGCTAATGACCCGGGGATACCAATAATCCATTGATTAATGCCGCACGCTGAATTAGCAAGTTCAGTTATTCCGTATTTTCCGCGCCTCGACAATAACAATTACTAAACACTTCAAGCTTTCATGATTGCCAGCCGTCCGTTCGCGTTTTGCATGAAAAATACAAGCAATAATCAAGTTACTTTATTTATCAAACTGTTTCGTTCAATTTACATCGTCCGTTCTTTAACTTATGTGTTTTTTTTCAACGAAATATCGTTATTGAATTTTTATTGGTAAACATGTAGTTGTACATTTTTTCCGTTTTTTTTTTTTTATTTTAACATTTACGTGTATGAGAAAAATCTTTTTAGGAAACGTTTTTTTTTTTTTTTTTTTATTTAACATTTACGTGTATGAGAAAATCTTTTAGAGAAAATTGATAAATTGCTGTTTTGTTTTTCTTTTTTCCCCCATCTTTCTCTTCTCATTGTTCAGTTCGCACATTGTATTTATCATTGGAATTTTGATTAGCGATCAAGTTTGAAGTTGGATAATACTGACGTGACGTAATGTTTTGATTCTGTGACTGAGAAATTCCAATTTCCGCGAGTGGAGGAAATAATATAAATAGGAAGGATAAGTAATTCCGGGGAATAGCTTTCTTTCACATGTGTTTTCTAATTTGATTTCAAATTATAGATTTAAAGCAAATGTCCTTAGAATCGACAGAGTTTTTATTAATGTAAAGTTTGCATAAATAATTTTCAATAGTTACTAGTATATAAATTAATAATTAATTCTTTAATTTTGAAGTAGTTGCAATTTTAAAAAATTAAAAATATATTTTAAAATATATATTATTAAGTAATATTATTTTATGTAACTATTTTAAAACATTTACTCCGAAAGATGAAAGAGTCGTTGCTAATTACAAAGAATTTGTTCTGTATAAAGGATAGCAATTATGTACAAAATGAGTTTCCTCGGGACGGCTATTTCCAGTTAGCGTCACTGCTTCGAGTAGATTGCATATTTTAGATCGTACATATTCTTTTCTTTTGTGAATTTTATATGAGCCATCGAGTATACCGTAATAACGCTCAGCACTAAAGGTATCTGTATTTAGCTTCATACATTGCGGCGTATCGTAAAGCTACGTTGGGAATTTATTGAAGCTCATTCGCGCGCGCGCGCGACCGAACAGACAAGTAACCGCTGAACATTACGAAGTCTTTCGAGCGGGCTGGATGAAACAGCGTATAATTAGATAAGGTGTAAGACGTATTTGGAGCGCGGCCATGCTGGCTCGCCGCCAGTGTTCGGCCTTTTGCTATAAACCTACGAAAAGGGTCAAGGGGGTGTCCCTGGTGGAAAGGAGCGAGAAAGCTCTACATTGGTTGCATCGATCGCATTGATTATGTGATATGCGTGCGATTGGATAATTCTTCGAATAATTAAAAAGTCAGAAAGAAGATTAAAGAATGAGATTTGAATTTTTTCGTGTTTCTTCTTTCGTATGTAAAAAATATCAATATTTTCTAAGAGCTGTTTTATTTATTTTAGGAAATTATAATATTTTTCTAATACTCTCAAAGTATAAAGTTATTGGATTGGATCCATAAAATTTGATGATGAAGCATTTAAAGGCATTTGCCTTTATCTAATGTCACTTTTATTTTAATTCTTTTATATTTTGCGACACTAATTTTATTGTCATTTATTTGCATCGATAAAAAATGATTGTTGGACAATCTCATCATAGTAAATGCATAATGTATAAAATTAGGTACCATCAAAGCTAGGTCGTACTAAGCTAAAGCTTTACCTTGGACGCACGCACCGCGTTTATCAAGCTATGCTAACGGAGGATTACGCTCCGAAGTGTCGACTCGCGTTGTTATCTACTAATTCCAATTAGTGTCAGCGATCTTCTGCGTTGCCTTCAGATTCAACTTTGCTTGGCAGATGCGAAGAGCTAATTTTGGTTTTCGTCGCGATGTCATCCTTCGTTAAGAGACATTTATTTGCGCGAAAGACATACTTTTTTTGAATAATTGCAAAAATATGTCAAATTTCGAAATATGATAAAAACACTATTTTAAATGCAAACAAAATAAGAAGTATATGCAAAATTGAGATATTGTATCAGCGTTCAGGTTTTAATTTCGTTATCAAGAATATCTGTGTCATTAAATTATTTTATATAAACTAATTAAATCATTTTATTGTTTCAGAGAGTCTCAGGGAGTATTTCACCAAGTATGGAGACATCACAGAAGTCATGGTAATGAAAGATCCCACTACACGACGGTCAAGGTAAGCATTTTATACATTTTATTTTGTAGGGGTTTTGGTGTAGAGTTAATTAAAAAATAATATGAAAGAAGACAGAAGTTAAATACGGCCGTGACCGTATAATTCGTTAAATAAATAATATAACGTATCGTCGCCTATCGAGCGATTACTTACGTACGATTCCTACTCGAATCCGGGTACAATTTTTCCGCGCTATCACCTGCGATAGTCCAAGATTCCGAGTCCGCACTACTAGCGACTCTCGGAAAAACTCCGTCTATCCGTCTCGTGTTTACGCTAATCATTACACCTTAAGCCCGATTCGCAAGTTTAAGCCTGATTCTCAACAATACAGACGATTTTACGCCGACCAATCTGCTTCTTATATTATCGTCTTATTAATCTTAGACTTAATTATTTTTCGATTATTCTTTCGCGAAATAGGAGAAGACTTATATATTTCTCAGAAATATCAGTTTATGCCAACCGAGAAAGTATGTCAGGTACATTTTCAATCTGGAGAATCTGGTCTAAATTCAAATGACCTCGTCGAAATTCATAGCGTCAACCACGTGTCAGTCTTCCTGGAATTTTCGTTAGATTCTTCTTTCCTATCGTTAAGCGCAGAAAACGCAAATATGATTGACGCGTCAAGGTTGCTTCTGCTAAAAATAAGTATACCGATCGGTATACTTAGCTCGTAAATTTAATTCTTACATTTTTCTTTGTGCTTTTAATCTTGTTCCACGAGAAACAGAGGAAAATTATGACAAATAAAAATAGCGGTAAAAAAGTAATAGTGAAATTTCAGCAAAATTATAATATTTCTCTTGTGATAAAAAAATACAGCCAAAATCGTGACAATAAAGCAAGTTTAGTAATAATAATAAATTATCACTTCTCGAAGTAATAATGATGTTAATAATAATTTTAACAATAACAGTTAAAGTTATAATTGTTAAAATATTTGAAATTAAGGATTAATACTTATACTGTAAGATACTCGCAGTATTGTTTTTGACACTCGCTACAGAATTAATTCCTTGTGCTGTCTGCATCACGAAGTAATGCGCAGCATAATGATATACAGTGCGCTGCGAAAATCGAGTTTCGAGTCGAGTGTCGCTGTTAAGTAGAAAACAGAATAACACCGAAGCGGATGGTAAATGCCAGAGCACACCAGCATCAGAGTAATTACCGGTTTTTAAGTAGAGGAAACGAGGGGCGAGTCCGACGATGAGGGTCGAAAGAACGGGGACGGTGAGAGGGTCGAAGGGGTGCGTTCAGCCGCTATATACAGTAGACTCTGCCGTGAAAAAGGAACGCGCGCGTCTTATCGCTTATCGAATGTAAAGCCGACAATGTTTTATCGTTGTGTAATCAGCGAAAACGACAAATGGCGAATTCTTCTTCTTCTTCCTTTTATATTAGGGCTTCGCCCTGTTATTCCCAACGTGCATCTCAGTTTTGAGAGGATGACGTCGTTCAGCTTTCGTCGATAAAATCGCGAATTGTAATAGTAATTTTAATGGATGATACATTAGCAGTAGAATTGTACTGTGCAATTATCGACTTTTTAACATTTTCATTATCGCTGCAATTTTAATTTTAATTTCTGCAAATTTCACAATGCATAGGCCTCCTATTATAATATTCAAATCGCTAATACTCGCTATTATCAACTGAAGTCTTTACATTATAAAAGCGCGCCGTCAAAACGTTTGTGCAACGATAATCGCAGTCGAATTGTCGCTGTTTAAATTGCCGTCTCTGGCGCTTATGCGCCAGTTACCTTTCGTACCGTGCATTTCTCCGTCTAATTAATTGGCCAGAAACTTTCGGGCCGTGCCCGCCAACCTTCTCTAATTATTCGTTCCTTTCATTCCCGCGGGAGGAACCGGAGGGGAACGAGGTCGGGGCGCGGAAGAGAGAAGGAACTGCTGGACAACAAAACGAAACAGGGGACAACTTACTTCCGTCGAGTTACAAAGCGCAAGCAACAGCCGAGCCTATTCGCACCCGCTTATTAAGCGAAAATAAAGCTCACAAAATCAAAGAGCATTTCCCATTCCTTTCGAGCTTCTGGCATTCATTCGCGACTTTCTTTCTCTCTCTCTCTCTCTCCCTCTCTCAATCTTTGCGAATCCACCCCATTCCCGTCTCCCTTTTCTTTCGTGTCTTGGATAGTTTGAAGTCCACTGACAATTAAGAGTTTTGTTCTCCACTCCTACCACCGGCGAGCTCGTTATGAACACATCGGGTCGGGTAAGTCCGTTCCGCCGACGAAAAAGCCGAAGATCGAGATTGCAGCGCCCGAAGATGAGTAGAAGCAGCTTTTTAGTCAGAGATGTAGAATTAAACATGGGATGATTAATGAAGATTGTTTCGCAACGCTGTTTGCAATAATCTGACAACAAGTATCGAATCATCTTTCTTGAATTTTTAGATAAATTGCATCTATTTATATATCCCTCTAAAATATAATGTAATAAATATCAAAGGTACCGTAATAAAAATATAAGAGTACAAGTGATAATTTAGTAAGAAAATCGATTTACGCTGCACGATTCGAGATATATTCGCGAGTTATCCAAGATTAAGTAAGATGCGCTGTCGATAGATTTAAATTTCTTTCACCGTGGTATACCGGGAAGCTTCTCGGATGGGTGGAGGTCGTTTAAGGGTTGAGCGCAACAGAGACGGCGAACGGAGGAGGCAGAATGGAGAGATAGAAGGGGCCGTCTCTCTCTCCGGGAGCTGGGACGGTTGAATCCCTCAGCGCCACGTCGTAGCTCATATCTGCCGCAAGGGGACGCGGATCCTGTATGCAGGGGTTGAGGCATGGGGTTACTCTGCGGGTTGTAAATTAATGGTTAGCCCGTGGCGTGGTGGGGTTCGGCCTAAGGGTTCTGGTTGATCTATGGGCGGCATGTGTGCCAGGTCAAACGGGCCTTGCCCACTGATACGGGAGCGAAAATCTCTTTCTCTTTCTCTTCGTCCTCTTTTCGCCTCGTTTTCTCTCCCTCTTGCTTTGTTATTCCCTTTCTTCCGGTTACTGCGGAGTGTGTAAAATCGATAGCAGTTTTGATCAAGTTATTCGCTATGGATAAAAACAAATTTGCAAATGCATAAACGCGAATATTCGAAACAATGTTCAACTTGTAATATTTAATTTGATTAATTTTGTATATATTTACGATGGGATACATCGAGTGTGACTTATTAAGTCAGGACTGTTTTAAATACTATTGATTATTCCCGAAAACTATTTTTTAATAAACTAATATTGATTTGGGATTAATCAAAATCAACGTTTTAAAATATTTAATATTGTTTTCACTCGAGAATGCTTCTAAAAATATGACAATTCTACTTTCATTTTCGAGCCTCGTTATAAGATTCTGTCTCCAAAATATAGAAATCTTCTTTTACGTGTTCTATGCGATGGCTTGAATTTGAAACGCTCAATCGCAGCGCGCCGAGTCGACGGTTATTTCATTTGTGTTAATCTTCATATGCGTTTTTAGAATATAAAAGTAACGTGATGCAGTCGATTCAATCGCTCTTTTACGAGTTTTCCAAACGGTCGTAATAACAATGAGATCCCGGCTGCGTTGTATAATGCGGATATTCGAGAATGCAGTTAACTTTAGTGCTTTTGGAACCGTAAAGAGAACCAATGCGTTGGAAAATCGATAATCCTTTGCTTATCTTTCTTTCTATCATTGATCATTTTTAACGTAATATTTGAGCTGCAAATCGAACGCATCGCAGTATCCTTATCATACATATATTTCGTAGACGTTTGCTTTACGTTCTGTTTGATCGGATCGATATTCGGTCATTATTGTTTTATTATAAAGACGCATCTACGGTTTAGAGATTTTAATCTGCGTAATAATCTTCCGAGATAGATAAAGCGTTAAATCAGCAAGATACTTATCTTTGATGGATTCACATTTGTTCACAAATCGCTTTCTGATTGTCGTGGTACTTCGATACGACCGTTATTCCTCGTTAAACGAATCGAGATCCTCATTTCTGGCAGTTCTGCTTCTTTTAAGGAAGGCGAGCACGGGCTCTCCTATCGACAGTCTCATTTCCTGCTGCGAACTTATCAAGACAAATACACGCGGAGCACGCTTCTTCGGCTGCCTCTCGCCGTCCATCCGACGGAAAATATCTCTAATGAACAAACTATCCGATTTGAGCCCGCGCTACACTATCTCGACACGCCTGCCTCTCGCCCATCCTTCCTCGCTTTACGAGAGAGGGGAGGGGGGGCAAGAGGATTGCAGCCCTCGATAACCAATCTCAATTTCGCCACGATATATCTGTTACGCGGCCCCGAGATTTCATTGAGACTTTTCGCATTACCTTTTAGCGCCTCTCTTTCCGCAACATTCCAACACGTGGTGCGCGTAACGTTTTTATTGAATCGATAGAATTAACGAAATAAAATGAATGGTATCGCAACAATTTCCACATGTCATCACGTGACTGACGTATGTTTCTTCCGAAAGATAAGCACAAGCGGGAAAGTAATCGGGAAAATTCTATACCACACTCTTGTTTTTTTCCTTCTGTTTTTCCTTTCTCTATTTATCTGTCCCTCTTTATGCCAGCCGTCTGTCTCCCTTACGTTCTTTGGCGTTCCGTGTTTCATAGCGGGAACACGCGATTCCCGCGTTAACTCCCGCAGGGCACAGCGGGTGTCCTTACGCGGGCTCACATTAACCCACCTCCGCATCCTTCACATTTCGCGTCGTCCCCTCCCAACCCGTATCCAAATGATCTACCGATACACGTGCATACTTTGTCGCTATCTCGACTAGTCCTTAACACTTCATCCTTTATTATTTTTGTATCTTTCGTCTCAAATAACAACGCGAAAGAGCGACAGTCTTGAAACGGATAAGCTATATTCATATTGCAAAAATATGATCCACTTTTAATAACGAGATCGAAAATCGATTTCAAAAATTTGCTGCAGTTTTAATCGACGAATTTCCTGTTCCTGT